TGCAGGTTGGATGGTGATGGGTGGATTATTTTTTGGGAGGTGGAAGTGGGTAGGGAACGCGTCGGTTTCAGGTGCGCAGTGCGCTGTTATAATGCAGGAAGTGCGTGATATTTGCCTTCCGGTTGGAAGGACCAGGGTAAAGATGCGTTTGTGTGTTGGGGGTTTTGGGATTCAGGTGGTTGGGATTGTGCCTAGAGGACAGCTGTTTTGTAGGCGCATGGGGGTTTCCCCATTTGTACGGTGTTGATGGAATGCCGCAAAACTGGGCATTGGTGAAAGTTCGTCTGTGGAGTGGTTCAGCCCTGATGTGTTAGTATTGTGTTATGTGCGTTTGGGATTGTTAGCGGAACATGAAGGATTTGACGTGTAGCGATGCATACATTCTCGGTCGTTTTTCTTTTGTTGCGCCGTGGAAGGCGAATGCTGAAGTGAATGCCGCAGTTGGACATTGAAGGCGATGTTTTGACTCGAAGGAGGTATGTTGTTGGTGGCTCTGTGATGCTGTTTTCAGTGGTTGGTAGTGCTTGCGAGGTTTGGTACTGCGATATCCATGGTGACACTAAGGCACTGGCGTGAGCGTGCGACTAGGACCTTTTCAATGTTATCTGATAGACTAGGATATAGCAACCTATGCTTATTGCGTATGGGGGCCAGTTGACGATCATGAATGACTTGACTGGTTTCAGCGCGTTTGGAAGCCTTGGTTATTTAACGCAGATTGTAAGCAGCGTTTTGTTCAATTGTTGGGTTGATTGAGGGCATTATCGATGCTGGTGTTGCGATTCTTGTGGTTGGAGGAGAGCAGTGCCATATGGGGTTAGGGCGTTTTGCATTTTTGTGGACAGAGTCGAATATGTTATGTTGTGTAGGAAAGGCAGAAGCGTTGTGTTGCGGCTAGCCATTTCCGTGGGTTGTGGTTCGGACAGTAAATGCTGAATGGTGGATGAATGCTTGAAGTGTGTTGTGCTAGGTTGTGGTAGGCGGTGGTTGGAGTGACTGAGTTAGTAGGACATTGAAGACAACCTTTTGATTTGCAGACAGTGGGTGTTAGTGGGTTAATGATGGTGTTTTCAGTGGCGGTTAGTGTTTGGGAGGTTTTGGTACTGCGATATCCAAGGTGGCAATAGAGCAATGCGGTGAGTGGGGGACAACGGATTTTGTAATAGATTCTGCTTGGCTATGATATATCAGGCTATGGTATCCCTTATGAGGGTGGTTAGCTGATTGTGAAGGATTTGAATTGTGGCAGCACGTGTGGGAGGCTGGGTTATGGAATGCAGAGCGTAGGTCGTGGTTTGTTTAGTTGCAGGGTTGATTGGGGGTGTCTGCTGATGTTGATGTTGCGAATCTTGTGGTTGGGGAAGGACAGGGGGTAATGTGACTGGGTGGTTGTGCATTTGTGTTGCGTGCGTCGAACATGTTATGTTGTGTATGGGAGGCAGCTGAGATGTGTTGTGGGTAGCTGATTACGTGGTTTGTGGGTGGGACAGTGAATGTTGCAGCGCCTATGCATGCTTGAACTTTGTTGTGTTAGGTTTTGGTAGACGATGATTGGAGTGACTGAGTTAGTTGGACATTGAAGACAACCTTTTGATTTGCAGGACGTGCGTTTTTAGTGGTTTGAAGAAGCTGTTTACAGTGGTGGGTAGTGTTTGGGTCGGTTGGTACTGCAACACCGGAGGTCTGAGGGTTTTGGCCTCCTTTATTTGCGTTGAGGGAACATGACATTAGATAAGGGAGGGATTTATTTCGCTGACTGGATTATCAATTTGTAGGATGTGCGTGTGGCGATCTCAGCGGTGTGGCATCATTAGTTGTGTTAGTTCTCAGCCTACGAAGCGCTTTGACGTTAGACTACGCCATTGGTCTAGATATCCTGGATACGTTTCCAATTTTAGGAAGTGCGTATCGGAGACCTAAAAGCAGATGGGTCAGGCACATTTGAGTTGATTGGGTATGCCTAAAAGTTTTGCCACTCGGACGTTCGGTTGCTGTTGCGGGCGGGCTACGAGTGTTGTTCGTGAGTGCGACGCTTTGCGAGTTTGTGGACTACTTGTGATGAGCTGTATGCTGTACTGGGCATTTGCGCAGACTGGATGGTGATGTGTGGATTATTTTTTGGGAGGTGGAAGTGGGGAACAGGTGCGCAGTGCTTTTTTATAATACAGAGAGTGCGTGGTAGTTGATGTTTGTGCTGCGGCTAGTGCAGGGCCATTTTGTAGATGCATGGGAGTTTCCTCATGTGTGTGGCGTTGATGGAATGTTCCTCACTGGGCACTGTTGAAGGTTGATGTATGATTTGCTTCAGCCATGGTGTCGGAGTTTTGCGCCACGTGTGATGGCGATTGTCAGGGAGACGCGCAGGATATGACTTGCAGCAGCGCATACATGGTCGACCGTTTTTGTTGGGGTGCGTTGCGGCAGGCGATGGTTGGTTGTTGTGACTGTTGTAGCTGGACATTGAAAACGGCCTTTTGATTTGTAGGGAGTGCGTGTTAGTGGCTTTATGCTGTTTTCAGTGGTGGGTAGTGTTTGGGACGGGTATCACTGTGACATTCATGTTGGCAATTGAGCAGTGGCGTGAGAAAGCGACTACAACTTTTTGAAAGCTATGTGATTGGCTATGATATCTCAACTTATCCGTATTCTCACCCGCGATTGTTCGCGGAGTATGAATTTCTTGACTTCTAAAAACAGATGGTGAATACTAGGTCGTGGAATGCAGAAAGTAAGGCGCGTTGTGTGGGGGAAGCAGCTGAGTTCTGTTGTGGGTAGCTAATCACGTGGATTCTCGATGGGACAATGAACGCTGCATTGTACGTACATCCTTGATCTTTGTTGTTGTCCTAGGTTGTGGTAGGCGATGGAGATAAGGAATATGTTACAGTTGCATATTCTGTATATAGTCTGTTTCGAAGATTGGTGCGGATTGACGTCGCATCAAAGCCTAGAGCTGTAGCTAATGATTGAGCAGTCACTGCATGTACTGAACCTCTTAGGGTCCTTGACATAGATTATTCACGCATACGTTATGAAACAGTACCAGTTCGTAAGTTTTGCTCTCTTAGCCTGTTAGGACGTTTTGCATTTTATATGTGTGAACGCAATATCTTATGAAGTGTGTGGGAGAGCGAGCTGAGTTGTGTTATGAGTAGCAGGTTCCGTCGTTTGTGCAGGAGACAATGAATGCTGCAAGTATCCGAAGGCTTGAACTGACTGGGCCTAGGTTGTGGTGGGCGATGGTTGGAGTGACTGCGGCATTTAGATATTGAAGGCGACTTTCTGATTTGTTGGGTGTGCATGTTAGTGCCTTGAGGTGTTTTTTGAGGTGGGTAGTGCTTGGATGCCTTGTACTGCGATATCCGTGGTGGCAATAGAGCAGTGCCGCGAGTGGGGGACAATGAAGTTTTTAATATATTTTGGTTGGCTATGATATAGCAGACTATGGGTATTGCGTATGATGATGGAGGCGATTGTGAAGGATTTGAATTGTGGCAGCACATGTGGGAGGCTGGGTTTTGGAATGCAGCCGGTAAGTCGTTTTTTGTTTAGTTGCAGGGTTGATTGGAGGTGTTTGCTGATGCTGATGTTGCGATTCTTGTGTTTGGAGGAGAGGAGTGCCATATGGGGTTAGGGCGTTTTGCATGTTTGTGTTGTACGTCGAATATGTTGCGTTGTGTATGGGAGGCAGCTGAGTTGTGTTGTGTGTAGCTGATTACGTGGTTTGTGGGTGATACAATGAATGCTACAGCGCGTATACAGGCTTGAAGTGTGTTGTTGTGCTAGGTTGTGGTAGGCGATGGTTGGAGTGACTGAGTTAGTTGG